CCATAATGCCACAGCGCAACGACTTAAACTAATATATATATATATATATTATAGTATTTTATAATAAATATACATATAACTACCAATCATGCGACAAGAATCCGCCCAAAAAACACCAAAACAAGAAATTGGACGTGGCTCCAAGCCCCCAAACCTTCACGTTGTTTTTCTTTCCAGCGACCTTCTCACCGATCGATGTCTCCTGTCTCCTCGTCTTCCCCCCTCCGCGTCGGCGAGGGACGACACCTTGACCGCCTGGATCCCCTCGGGGCGGATCCACACTTCGCAGCGGCCGATGGATGCCGCGTACTCGACCCCTGCGGCGGCTGAAAGTTATTGAAGGGTGGAGGATGGTGGAGCCAGGAAGGAGAGAGGTGTGGTGGAGTTGGGAAATCAATGCACTAAGGGTCTGGATGAAGACATCTGGAGTTGGACAGATCTTCTTGAGGAGCTTCTCAAGCAGATTAACCTTAAGCAAACAACTCCGAAAGTGACACTGATCCCGGCTTTGGGTGTCTTCAAAGGTTATCTCTCTTCTTCCAAAACGCCCGAAGCTTGGGGCACTTTTCGGCCCGGTGGTGGACATGGCGAAAGCGCGGCCGCATGGCCGCATGGCGCGCGCCTTTGCAGCCGGGCACTTCGACGCATTCGCTCTTGCAGCCCTCCAAGGTGGAAGTCCAGTAGAGCTCAAAGTAGGAACCTCGACTCATCAAATTAAAACGTCTGACGTTTCCTGCTCTGGAAGAGACCACTGTATTGGATCATGTGGGACTCTTCCTCATTCGGGTGGAGAATGAGGCATATTTGTGCGAATGGGCCACTGGGCAGATTTCCCACACACCCAGCTGGCAAATGGACATGGATGAGTATGTTCTTTCAGCGAATCAACACACCTGAGAAGCGACCGCTCGCAACGCGAGACCGAGACCGAGTGAATGGGAATGGGACTGATGGGACCTGATGGACCCAACGCAACATCGACCTGATGGGCAAATCGGCTCACTGAAATAACCCATCAAACAGAGGCTGCAACTTGCGTTTCTTCTGCTGCTGGGCTTACTTCACACACGTCACAGTCACCTCCTTCTTCAGCATCCATATCCATGCCCAGCGCACCATTCATCACACACACACACATCTCTGCACCCTCCTCTGACCTCTGACGACTTCGACTCCAAGCAGCGCTTGTTGTCGTAAATGTTGGCACCACGGCAGACGCGGTCCTGTGCCACCCCGTTGAGGCCTTCAAAGTACATCAGCTGATGCGGCATCAGCGTGGTCGTCACGTTCCTCAGCTTTGGTGGGATACGAGACGTTTCCGTGGCAGCGTGGCATTGGTGGCGATGTAGTATAGAAGGGGAGAGTGTCTTTTAGTTACTGCAAACTTAAGATTTCTCATTGGGGTTCCCTCAAGCCAAAGGCCACCGCCCCATATGGATACGTGTGGAAATGTTGGGGATAAGGAAAACATTGCCCGGACAAGAAACCCACAATCTTTAGGATGCCATTGCAGCAACATCAGTTTTGCATTACCACGAAGAACATTGCTGTGAGTTTGCACAACAATTGGAACACACATGCTAAAGTCTGACTCTGGTCACTCTGGTCATTCCAGCTTTCCACCAAAGCAACAAGCCCCACAACGGTCGATGCCCCTACTGCTCTGACGAGTTCTTTTCTGGTCCAGAACACCTACGTGAAAGGTACTTAACAGCAAGGGCCAAGTTTTACATGAGCCAACAAGGTCCAAACACATGAGCCGTGAGCCTAATAAAGATAACTTCTACCAGGGACTCTGGTTGGTCCACGTTGTTCCTGTGACCATTCCAAAAAAACCGGTGCATGTTGAGCCAGGACCCTGGTGCCCGGACCCTCGGAGATAGACCGACCGGTCGGTGTCCGCGCGTTGCAGTGGAGCCTCGGAGCAGAGCTGCCAGCGCCAGGGTCCACGTAGCGCCAACACTCGAAGTTCTCGGCCGCGTTACCTCACTTCAAAGTGGTGGACACTGGGGGGGCTCAAACCTTTGAGATTTTTCAGCACACCCACAATGCTCCAGTAGATGCACCACCCAGGAATCGGTGTGATTTTTGGCGGATGTTGGGCGAGTTCACGTTCGTCTGGGGATGCTGCAATGTTCACTGATTGAAGCAATGGGTATGCTTTGGAATACAGAGTCCCTCTATACACCCAAGCAACTACCCAAGCATTTCTTAAGAATTCCATGCAGCCCCAAAGGCATACCCTACTCACCCAAACCCTTGACTCACAGGGTTCGAGTTGAGGTTCCAGAGATCCATTGCCATTTCCGCAGGTCTTTCCTGCTCTTGGGCTCTGTTCATCTCCACCGGTGCTAACGGGGGGCCTCTGCAAAAAGAACGCGGCCTTGATACATGTACCTGTATAGTGATGTTATACTACATGTTGAATTTGGCGGGCTCTGCCGCCGCTGTGAGACGGAGACGTTGTTTGCTTTTCGTGCGTTGTGGGATGTGCTGTTCCGTGGGGCCAGGGATATGCGCATGCTGTGAATCATAGATGTTGCGTCGCATCTGTCTGCAGGATCCAAAAAATATTCGGGGAAGGAAACCAAGCAAACCAATTAGAAACCACCGACACCGCGCATGCCATGGCTCGTTTGGGACAGAAGCCGCTTCCCCCGGTGGTGGACTGCTGCGCCCAAGGCACTGGCTCCGATGCCGCCCTCGCGGAGCCAGATCTCGCAGCGCCCGGAGATCCGCGCGAACTCGATCCCTGCGGAGAGGCGTGGTGGTGTGGAGGTTGGAGTAGTGAGGGAGGTGGTTGGAGGATGGAAGATGATGGGAGGATGGGTGGTGAGGTTGGAAGCTGGAAGGGTTTAAGTTCAAATATAATATAAGATAATATAAGTATTGATATACTATTGATATGATTTAAACTGTATTCAATTTGTCTTCAATCTGGCAAGGATTGTGGTGAAGGTGATCTCACGAAATTGGCTGTTCCGGCAAATGCGAAGCTTGATGTATTTTGTTGGAGGAGTTTCTACCCGTTGTGTGGGAGATGATGACTTTGGAAGGACCCTAGCCAAGAGACTTTGAGACATGGACCTGTATGGAGCGTAGGAGAGGAAATGGCTTAGTAAACGTTCGCCTGTGCGGTGCTTCGTCGCTTCATAGGGGTTAGAGCTTATAGACGGATGCCTCTGTAGACACCCAAATAGTCAAAAGGGAAGCCTGCTCTCGTGGACGTGTTCTCACTCTAGTCTTCAATGATTGACCCAATTCTCCGCACCTCTCCTCCCATCACACCAGCCTTCGAAGGAGTTAACTACAGTATTACCTATTACATCCTATTACTATTACTATACTATATTAATAAGGGTCTAAGTGGATGTTGATGGTTAGTAAAGGCCTTGTGCAAAAATGATAATTGTTTACTGACTGACACAGGTAATCGGACAGACCCTAACTATATACATTTACATCCCATTCCAATGGGTCTCAACAACCCTCTGGCCCCCAATCCACATCAACCCATACGAGCGGTTCGGGGCCTTTACAACCGGGATAGTCCCGACAAAGCTGCTTGCACTGCTCAGTCGAGTTCGCGACGCGGACCTGACGGTCACGCGATCACCGGAGAGCTGAAAAAAAGAAAACAGCCCACGTACAGCCCACGTACTTTCAACTTCTCTCCCCTGCCTCACTCAGTGACCCCAAGAAAACATTGAGTCATTGAGTCATGTGATCCCCACCGATCCCCTTTAATTAAAGGGTGCCAGTGGTTCTCTAGAGCACAGTCTTGCAGCAACATTTGATAACATTTGTAGGTGACCAAACACAATCATTGAAACCTGGCCATGACACCGTGAAGTAGCTGTTGGAGTTGTCGCTGGATGTCACACCACGGCACACCCGGTCGATAGCGCCATCGACAGCTTGAAAGTGGGGCTCATCGTTGCCTGCAGTGGAGCAGTTTGGCTGGTCCATTGATCCCGCCCTGGGGTTGGCAAGGAGCCTGGTACGAGAGATCAACTCCGGTTCAAGGGGGCAACCCGTACTCATCTAAGTGGGATGATGCCCAACCAGCCTTCACGCGTATATAAACGCAAGAGGACTTCCAACTTCCCACTCATCGGGCAAGCACAGAAGCTGAATGGATCTTGAGGGGAAATCTTCGCGGAGGGAGACTAGTCTGTATATTGGGAGGGTTGGCTTTAATCTCAAGGAGCAAAGCCTTAGCACAAGAATCACAAGCACTTCAAGTCCTGTTCAGCATGTTGTGAGTTCTTGTCAAGAAGATGGCCTGTGCGGTGCGGTGCCACGATCGTAGGTCACCAGTGGTGACCGATCGCGCATTTCACCCAGAGGCCAGAGACTGCCTAGGTCTTGTGCCTCTGGAGTTTTGCTAACACAAATTATCTTGGTGCCAAAGTCATTGATCATTCTTACAGTAAGTGGTTTCACCTTAGGTTCCCAACCCAAACGCACCAACCTCCCCATGCATCCCAACTCCGCGACGTCCTAAAGAAACGGCTCTTGCTTTCGCGGAGAGCCGTTGAGGCCGGCTCTCCCTCCGAGCGGCAGGGTGGTGGGCAGCTGCCCAGGATCTCGTGTAGCAAGGCCTGGAACTCATCCTCGGCCGCAGAAGATCGCGGTCCGCGGCCGCTGAGAAGACGTCAAAATTCAAAACAAAACAGAGGAGAGAATCTGAAAACGCAAACAAGACGCGTCAAACGGTCTGACACGTCGACGAAGCAAACGACTCCACGCATTTTTTTTGGGGGGGGAGAAGAATGGGTAGGGTGAGAATCCTCCACCATTCCTGGCTTTAAACTTTTGGGACTGCCTCCGAGTCCGAGGAACTGGGTCAATCACCCAGTCTGCCCAGACCGCAAACCAGGACCAGCGGGGTGACCGGGGGTGGGCACCGCAAGAGTGAGAAGCGAATTCCCGAGGGAACCGTTGTCACACCCGGGAGATCACTCCTTGGACTATCCCGACCACATCACGGCAGGCTGGACAGTCAGTCATGTGTCGCACACATGCTGTTTGCTGCCAAGAGGCCGCGCTGGATTTGTAGGTAAGACCAGGATACCATCTAGGTTCTTGAAAAATCCCGACCCTCAGATTGCAACAACACATGGGACAGGGCAGCAAAATACACGGGCACGATGCTCGTGCTTTGAGGTGCTTTAACTTCAGTCATGGCACCCCGAGCACCACCAAAGATCGTGAGTCCAAGAAATCAATCGGTGTTTGAAGGAGCACCCACAAAAGGGAGGGAGGGAAGAGGTGCTTGCTACTCCAAGCAAAGCAATGGAGCAATGGATGGCAACACCCAAGTCAGGGGTGACTTCATGTTGAACTCGCACCTCCAAGTGGCCAACTGGAAAAGAGCCCGTGTCCAAGTGAAACATATCATGATTGGGGAATGGAAGGTGAGCTCTTCAGCAGAAAGACTAAACCTGCAAGATCCGGAAACGACAGCAGCTGCCCAGGACAGCAGCTACCCTGCCCAGCTGACAAAAAGGGTTGCACAGGAGTCGTGTTCAATCCCATGCCTTTGCGTGGCTGACGCGGCTGATGCTACCAAACCAACGTGGCTGGAATTCACCACGGTTGTTACTTCAGTGAGTGACATTGAGTGAGTTCCTCAGTGTGAGTATTCTCTGACAAGGGATCTACCCTTTTAGGATCCGCTTCAGATCTCCCAAGCCCCATCTGTCTCCGTACATAGCCCAACTCACAAAGCCCAGCATCTGCATAGCCCATTTCAAGTCTTTCATACAAGTATCACCTTGGGCCAGGCTGGTGGGCATGAGTGAGAATCGCTCCACACTCCTTTTGATGCAACTTACAACACTTTTTGATATACTTTTTGGGGCTCGGCTTGCCTCAAAAGGTGCTTAGTGCACGGCTTGTTGGTGGACGTTATCACGGCTCAGTTGCTTTTCGTGCAACACACTTGTTTGAGGGCTTTCCAAGCAGGGTTGTTTCTTCAACTCTAATCGATCACGGCCCTTGAATTCACTTAGACTATATGATAACTTGATAACATGTCTTTCTTGCATGTTGCCAGAACAAAACATACCTTCCGTCAAAAACCCCCCACAGCAAAGAACATGATACAACATGTGCGAGGGACATTGGCTCCCATCCTTGCTGCAAACAACAACAATTCGCAAATGACCGAGTTGATCCAGGCCTTTGGTCTTCCTTCTAACCGGTGTTACTTCGGGCTTTGGATATCTAATGTGCTTTAGATCCACATTTGTGACCGTGTCTAGACTACATAATACCTTAGCAGCACATTTCATATTCCATGAGGATTGTGCCTGTGCTTCTCCTTTCCCAAATCCCTCCTTCACCAGGGGCTTGCATGGATCCATGTTTATTTCTAAAGACATTGAACACCGAGGTGCACAAAAAAAGGGCACCACTGTTAATTGATGTTTGTCCTATCCCCTGCTGGGAGGGTCCATTCCTACACGGATCGCCCCCCCAAAAACACACGTCCAGCGCTTCGCTCTGTCCAACACATGCGGTGCAGTTGGAGCGCTCAAGTTCTCACAGGAAGTTTCCTCGGTGCTTTCGCGAGCGCGTGTCGTGTTGATTCGCGCTTCGTCCTTGCGTGGGGATGACGAATGGCGTTGTTGTACCAGGCACTGTGTTGGAGAAGTTTTGAGATGAGAAGTAGGTAAATACATGTAAGTACTAGCCGTGACTAACCTTCAATGTAGTGAGTCATGAGTCATTGTTGTTGTATCCTCCATGTCAACCCTTCACGGCTGGGAGCAGTCATGATTGCCCGAAAGTCCTAAAGACCTCTTTTAGAAAGGGAACATGATCATGTTGGCTCCCCAAAATGCCCGGTGAGCACAAATGGATCTTGCAAGGGGAGGAAACCGTGGTGACCGCGACCCGGCGGTCCTATCTACAGTTTCTTCATCTTCATAATTAGAGTCCATTCATTGGAGTCCTAGTGGATCACAGTCCTAGACGGCACTAGATTGGATCTAGCATCTACAGTCCTAGACACGCACCAGGACCGGAGCTCACCATCCAAACAGCATATAGTAACAAGAAGCTAGTAGCAACAAAGGGCATCGCTAGTAGTAAGAAGTGCCTTACTAGTAGTAACAAGAAGCTAGTATATCATACATGTCTCCGTCTCCAACGTTCGTCCACCAGCCCCGCGTTTCGTTTGGTCCACAGGCCCAGGAGTCATCCCAGCGCCCCAGCTCCCAGTTGGGCAAAGGTGGCACGATGATCTCTTCACCATCGGGGCAGCTCACCACCTAACAGTTTTTTGGGGTTTCTGACGCCCAAGAGAACTCACCCGATGGTCTAGGCGGATGGTGTGAGCCATGGGGGAGTTGATCCAGGAAGTATGGAAGGCGTTGATTTAGATGACCAGGTGGTAGTTCGGGAGAACGGACTTGAATGGTCCAACATCCAACCATATATGATATTATATGCAAAAGGGTTCTGTCACATATTACCCATCCACCTGGTACTTCCCGAGCACTGGCCAACATGACTGGACATCCAGCAATGGGCCATTAGCAAGATTCAACTCAACCTCTCAAAATCTCTCAAACAGGCAGGAGACCTTACAAACAACACAGTTACAGTAACAAACAAAATGTGAACAGTGAGTCAGATATTCAACCTTTTCTGAGAAGTCGAAGGATTTCCCATGCTGCCCTCATTCCTCAACTCAATCAAAAGCTTTACCCCATGTACAGTCTAATCGAGGTGATTTGAAGGCAGTAAACAACGCCGGCAAAACAGTGGAACTATTCATGGCATAGGCTTTAAACAGTGATGAACACCTTCTGGATTCGGCCAGCTCGCAGGAAGCTGTAAAACCAACACCAAGCTTCCCCATATCATCATACACAAGGATGTAAACTAAACTCACTAGACTCCAGTTGTCTTGAATATTGAATAACTACTTTTAAGAACACCAAACAAACAACAAAGAAGTTGGGAACCCCAAACACAAACACCGGGACCATCCATTCCTTAGCTGGCTGGACTACCTTAAACCATGAAGCTCAACACCCCAAATGAAAGTTCTAAACACAACCACCTTTTCTCATGTACGGCCAAAAGCCCTAGTAGCGTCCTTGCTCCTAGTAGTAAGGCCAGGAGCGCCTAGTAGCTTCTTGTTCCTAGTAGTACGGCCAGGAGCCCCTAGTAGCGTCCATGATGTCTCATTTCTCAAGCTCAAACACTCGGACTTGGACACTACGCGACTCAATCCTCTCCTCCTCCTTGGCGCTGCCTGCCACACGCCCAGCTCATCGGGCAAGGACTTGGGATCGAAGCCATCGCAAATGGGGAAACCTTCAGGGCCTGGCATCGCGGTGGGGGGCTGCGAGGAGCATGGCCAATGGGCCAGGCCACTGATCTAAATGATTCTATATGATTCTATGTATTTCCAACACATATGATTTTTGGTGAATCACACCTACTTTACACAAATAGTTTTGCCATTGCATGCCATTGCCCTGCTGTGGGCACAAGCTAAGCTTCCTGCTGAACGGGGTGTAGTTGAATAAACAACTGTCTCTCCAAGGAGTTTAACATACTTTAAGCTCAAACAGCAAGGAACACAGCATGTGCCAAGACTCCTTCAGAATCATTCCACATGCTGATTTGCTGGTCATTTTGTCGAATAAATCCCACACACAAACTGACTTGCAAGTCTGATTCAAACCTGCAAGGACGCACATTCCGTATTCATACCGGGTGCTTTGTTGGTCAACGAACTCCCCACCCATCTCCATCCCCATCTTTCTGATCGCCCTGATCTGTCTGCCCAGGCACCGGTCTGAAAATCCCAGCACTCAAAGGTTGCCGACCATTGCTGACCACCTTCCCTGGCACACACGGTGCTCGGCTAAAACTCGGCACAGGTCCGGGACAACATGGAAAAGTGGTCGGTGTTTGGAGCAGCGAGGCCATGGTGGGTGAGTTTCAAACGACACCGAGAGGGGCTGGGAGTGCAAAACAATGAGCTCAATTGTATCTACAAATGGATGGCAAAAGGCTCGATTGTTCCATGTCAAGACTACTTCCGGACCTTCCGGAGGGATAATATTTATGTTGCTCTACTTCATTCAGCTACTCTGGTGGCATTTGGATCGAAATTTCCAATTTGGTTCCTGTGCAGGTGCAATACGGGTGTCAACATATTGGATATTCATATAAATATAAGGACTTGGAGTTGGATGAAATCACCACATAACCATGCAGCATCCCCATCGCCGCCGCCCTCCGCCCCATCCGTGTCCTTTCGCTCATGTCGCCTCAAGAATTGGTCCACCGTGGCGGGACTGGGCATCCATTGGCCCTGCTTCCAGGCCAAGGAACGATGCGAGATATACCTCGCATCTCGGGGCACCCTTGGAGTTCCAAGAACTGCATGGAGATTTTGAGGGTGACATAGATACCACACGAAAGCACCAAAAGTATTCAACAGTAGTCTGTTCAAGAGAAACCCATTCTGGCACGACATGACTTCTTTCTATCTCCTCTGCGAGGATCTTCCTCAACATGTTTCCGATCTTCCCACAAGCGACCTCCTCGGCAGGGCCATCCCCAACTGCGGCATTCAAACAACGTGAAGAAACGCCAAGTGGATAATATTTTCAGAATTCCACAGATGGATATCAGTCTGAGATATCCACCGGAGATGTCTTGTCTTTTCAAGATGTTCTAAGCAAAGATCAGCAACGGGTTTCCAACACCGACGGGCCCAACAAACCCATGAGGATCTTGAGACCGCGCAATGTGGACTCAACACTCTCCATCTTTTAACCTATGAACAAACAAAAACTATAGATCGAATCTACAGCAAGGGTATTACGAATTTTGAACATCATCCACAAACTATATAGGACCCCAGCATCCAAATCATCCAGCCCTTCCGGAAAAAAACAAAAAACATAAACCAACAAAAACTCACCACCCGGCTCAACAGCAACCGTGTGGCTCAGGATACTTCAGCGGCACGCCCGGCTCTACAAAACAACTCGTCTCACAAGGCGCTTCGCTAGCCTGACAAACCGAGCCGCGATTCGCAGCCAAACAAAACGCACTGATGAAATAGTACCCTCAAAGGATTTCTTCCATCAAGAGTGGGGATCCACATGAGCAACTAGATATGAACGTTCCAAAGTATTATCTACTGAAGCTTCATTGTTGGGCTTCCAGCTTCGTCTTCTAAGGGTTGGCACCGGTCAGGCTACTATGCCCTGTTTGTTCAATAGGCAATAGGTCAGTTGGATTGCCACTGCAACTTTCAATAGCACAGCACCATGTCATCATTCAAGAGTGCCCGGCACAATCGATTCTATTCCCTTGCTCGGGGCAGAGCACTTTCTCGTGTGCCTTGGCACCGTTTTGGCTTCGTTGCAAGTCAATCCACTTTACAACCTCAAAACCCTGAAGAGAAAACATTCGAATCAGGAGGAGGCTTCATTTTTGGGTTTGTGCAAACTCTCAATCTCTGTGACAATTATATATGAACGTATACCTCTACTCTACTACGGGTTGCCCCAAAGTTGGAAGCGGGAACAGTGAAGTTCAGGCGTCCGCGAACGCATTCAAACTAAGCACTGCTCCCGAAATACGATCCGATATTGCCAGCATCTGTCAATCTTTCAAAGCCTCCTGAGGTGACCCGGACAACTCTATGTTTCAGGAAAGCTATTGAGCTAAAGCAAGCTTGACCAAAGCACCGTTTACTTCTGTATCTCTATCTCTATCTATTGTAGCTATACATTATATACACACAGTATGTACACCCTATCACAACTAAAGCCTTCCAAAACAGCCAGCCATTTCAGACAAACCTGGGCGACTCAAGCCCACCTCGTTGGTCTCAGGACAAACTGGCATGCAAAGCTCACCCCAGGTCCTCTCCAGCACCTGTGCTCAGTGCCGGCAGTGCAAACGTGAGCGAGCAATTGTGCAAGACCCTGTGGTTACGGACCAAGGGACGAACCTCCAGGACTCTGTTGAAGAAAAACATCGAACAAACACAAAGCCATGTAGAGGTGTCAAGGAGGGGCCTATGCGCTTCTGTGTTGGCGGTTTTGAAGCTAGGTCTGCATGTGCCTCATTCTTGGGGGTTAACCCGGGGTCATCTGCCAGTGACTTTGGAGAGATGGGAGGAACTCTCAGCGCCAAAGCATCTTTCAGGTTCATATTGCATCGTCTTCTGAGTACCACCCTAAATCTGCGTAGTTGCCATGAATGAATTCGTCTTTGATCTACCCGTTTGCTGGCGGTTCGGAACCCACGAGCCCCAGCCGCTGCGCTGTACGCAGCTGTCCTTGGCGCTGCCGTCTGTGAAGTTGCACTCGGAGATGTTGAAGGCGGTTTTCCTGAGGTCACAACTCCACAAGACAGGCCAAGTCAATGGACCAAGGAATAGGTCTTACATGGTCTTACTATCCCTGTTCCTGCTTAAAGTGGTCCAGGGCACCCAAATTTCTCAGTCTCAGTTGATGAACTCCCACGGCATCACTTGATGAGTTCCATGTGAACAGCACAAACCAGGCCAATCGAACACCGTATACCGTCAAATGTGGATCTCCTCCGCCTCAAACAGCTGGCGGCAAATGCCTCCGGAGAAAGAAGACTTGAGGCAGTATTCCAAGAGCACCACATCCTGACCAAATCCCGAAAATTGGTTGGTGCAAGCAACATCTCCTAACCAAACCATCCCAGCAAATTGTCACTTTATTTTTGACAAAGCATCAATAGGCAACAATTTGTTTGTTTTTAAGGGTTCTCTTCGGGCTCTGTTGGGTTAACTGGTATATATTATATTGAAAGACTCGGGAAGACTGAGACACTTAGTGAGTGTTACGACACACTAGTGAACCACTCGGAGTGTTTAAAGATGGTATCAGAATCAGCAGATCCTTTGCTCCTCCCTCACTGTCAAGCGCACCATGTCTTCCATTTGGACTCGACCCACCACGTCTCTATTGTCGATCTGCTCGACCCACCCACGCGTGACGTACCCAGAGCCTAGCGTCGCCCTTGAAAAGCAGGCTGGGTTTGCTGGCGTCTCTACTGCCAAAGAACCGTTGATTCCTTGGTGCTGGCAACCAAACTAACCACCAGTGCCGTTGCGTCCTTTGCTACTGGCCGATGAAGACAGCTTGAACTTGAACCTTATTCAACTTATTCTGTTTGAAGCTTTACAGATTTCTTTGTCCATACAATGAACATCAATGAACGCCTTTCAGCTGTTTGTTTCCTTCAACACCTAGAGCTTCGACCGACAATCCTCAGAACATCTCAGCTCACATGTATATATATATATACATATATACAGTACATATAAATGGAAGCAACAGTGGTGTTAACATTCTCTTGGTGGTACTTACATTCGGGCTCCTATCACATCGACGAGTACAGATCAACCAAGTTGTGTAATATGTGCTCGCTATTCCTGATTGCAGGGCAGGCGGTACGCTCCCAAGAGCGCTTGAAGTTGGAAGTGTTGAAGATGCCCCTGAAGGAGACACTCCCTCTATAGGAAACATGTGACCAGGAGGGGATTGCAACACGTGCTCCTCTGGCGCTCAAAGGACAAATGGTGGGCTTAGTCGGTGGACTCGCCGAGCGCCAAGCTGTTTCAGTCGGGTTCTTGGGCCCACCGGATGCCAAGTTCCATTTGCTTCAACATCTTCAACCAAGTGAATGGAAACTCCATCTTCATAAATACTTCAAACTTCCCTTCTCGATTCAGGGGATGTCCAGAAACTTCGGTCTAGAGAGAAACTGTAAACTTCGCCAGCATGATCAGCACAAGTCCAAGAAATGCGCTACCCAGGTATTTAACAGGTACCAAAACTAATTGGGACCCAACTCGACCATCACCCGTCCGAGCCTAAGCCAAGTATCGATCCTTCCACAGGGCCAGCTCTAAGTTGAGGCTGCTGAAGCCTAACTGTCCAAGGAAACTCATATGACCTCAGCGAAGAAAGGCTCAAATGGCAAGTCATCCCCCTGTCACGCGTCCCAGTCACGGAGAAACAGCCAAGACCGAGCCTGACAACATTGGGGGCCACATGGGAGCTACAAATTCTCTCCGGGTGTACTGTGTTTTCATCCCAAAGAATTCAAGGAGGATGACTGGGTCAGCCCTTCATTCATCACATGGTCCGACTGGAACCAGTCAGTACTTTGGGGAACCGATGGTGACCATTTATATGAAGCCCAAGGATTTCGAGATGGTGACCATCAGCCAGCCAGATCCTGCACTGGCTGGTCCAGCCCCGGAGACCGGTCCAGGCGGCTTTTGGGAACCACCCAGCTCTCATAGTCCGCGTTGAGTTCGATGACGGCAGCATCAAGGTTGGTCGGCCTCGGTGGAATGGTGAGTCATAGAGTTGTTCAGCATCAATCCACAAGTGTGGGTCAAAAACAAGGAATCCCAAAGAATGGTATGTTGACATCCCTAGTAGTCCATCTTGTGCATTTTTAGAAGTCAACCAAGGTCCCGCAGCTTTGACCCAAGGACTGCCAATAGAATCAGGGTATAGCAACAGTGGATCAGACCCCAAATGCTGCTATACTATGAAGTCAGGTTCTTACTTGGGCCCAGCACAGCCCCTCTAGTCCAACATCAGCTTCTTCTTCTTCTTCTAGAGGGAATTTCTGGGGATCTTGGAGTGTCATTCCTGCACAATGTAAAGTTATGGCCTAGTACTTATTGAGTCATTAATGTTTAATTCCAAATAATTCACTGGAAAGTCCCGGGGAGCATGTATTCATATTTATTCTAACTGTGCTGCAGATTCAGATAGACGTTTGCAAATAGAATATATAATTATGACTGCCCGCTGCGGATATATACACGGGAGTATGGGAACAACAAAGAAAAGAGTGTGTGTGGCATTGTGGTTTTGACTTGAACTGCTCAGCATATAGAATATGGTCATAGTGGCCCATATTTATTCTAACTGCTTTGGCTTCTCACCCCGTGACCTCAAAATAAGGGTATTCTAACTGCAAACTCATTTAACATCAAATTTCTATGTGCTGAGCCGTTACTATATAGCTTCCAACATTTTCCAAAAGTGGATAAACAGGGTCCGCTTCTCAAATGGCAAAGGGCAGGGAAGTCCAGTAGCGGAAGTCCTGATCCTCAAAATACGTTTGATCATTCCATGTTTGTCCAAGTCAAAGCAAACAGCTAGAAACTCCAATCGCCAAGGCCACCGATGGTGGTCGCCCCCCCCCAAAAAAAAATCGATCAACGTTTTCATTTCATTGGAACCAAGTTGTGGTTCTATGCAGAACTGGGGATGGTTCCTATGATGGCAATTCAGAATTCACCTCTTGAGGCGCATATAATAACTGATGAACCACCGAAGCTCCTCGTCCCCTCCTCCCGCTCGTCACCGTCGCCACCCCCCCTCAGTCGCCTCAGCTCACCCCCGAAGAACTCCCCGTAGGACAAGGTGATGCGCTGTTCCCGCCAAGGCAAGAAGCCCCGCTCCTCGGTGAACTCCTTGCCGCAAGATGTGCCAGAGACGCAAGTGAACAGTGGGCGAAGGCCAGCGAGGACAGGTTTCAAACCTTCATGCACCCTTCAAGCCAGTCCTCTGTCGCATGAGCATCGATCTTTACAATGGTGCCATTCCCCAATTGGTTCTGGTAGCCGTACAAGTACACCTCAGCACTCCACGGGCCAAGGCGCGCCGTACGCATCCGCTCACTGGATGCAGGGGACGGTTGTTGGGTCGTGTGGCCTCAAATCGATAGGAACCTACCCAGCCATGTCCCGATTTTTAACATGATCACATTGTGGATTTGGTGTGACTTCATCTAAAAGTCATATCTTCTGTCCTGCGAAAAGAACGGCGAGCCGCCGTTCGTCTCTCGGTTCACTTAATGTTGATCGAGATTGATAAAACAGAGTATCACTTGACACTTCATGCCAACTTTGGTTGTTAGCTTTTACATCAGGCAATATAATACAAACCAGTACTGCTATCACCGGCTATCGCTAGACTAGCAAAACTATCAGTGCTCCAACCAAGACTTCCCAACAATAATATCCAATGTTCCTTGGTGCTTACTCTAACTATTACTGGAATCCAAGCAACATGTGCAAATCCAATGGCCAATCAGTCGATTGCTAAAACCATAAAACCCCTCTCTGTCATCTTCTGTCCTATAGCTGCTGAAAGAATGGACCACCTGTCCAAACACGACTGACCGACTGACAATCAGACGGTGATTCAAACCGATTCACGTGGCCATATCCTTGGAACCTCGCCTCGGAATATGAATTGTTGACATTGATGAATGACTTGAAACCAGCTTAGATCCAATTACTCAGCAAGTAGTTCGGGCGAAACACACAACACAAGCACCTCCAAACACCTTCAGGACAAACCCTAGGCTTCCCCACTGGCCGCTCACAGCGGTTTTCAAAGACCGCCTTCCTCACCCTGGCGGCCACTTTTCAACAGAACGGAGAGAAGGGCTTCGTGGATTTTAATTTGGCAAGCTTGAGGGTCCACTTCTGTTCAACTGATTGATTGGACAAGTGACATCCAACTGTAGATACAATGTTTCCGATAAGTCCTTGGGATGGTCAGGACGTGGCCATATCCTTGGATATTCTAATCATGACCCTAGATTCTGGATCCACAACTGCTGATTCAAACGGTCGCCGCGTGGCCGCGGTGGCCCAGGCATAAAAAGAGAATGTCATGTGTCATGCGACCAGCTGAAACTTGCATCACAGCCAGTGCTTTTTTCCACCAGCTTTGAGTCCCCCTTCCGACAGAGCCGAACGACGAATCGACCGGGTACCTCCCGGGAACTTCCAGCAACAAAGCAACGATGGGGTGACCATGAGAGCGAATCAACATGAGGACCCTTCCTGGCTCGATTGGTCACTATGGAAGATCTCGAAGACTGCAAATAGATGCAAATAGGCTATATAAACACTAATAAACACCCCAATACCTTTGACAAATGAACTCAGTGAACGGATGGACGCGTAGCGGCGTAGTTGATTTTTTTGGGGAGAGGTGTGACCAAAGGCCGAAAGGATTTGGAACGGTATTCTTCTTCGATGAGCTGAATGGTCTTGAGGCTGGATTTCCAGATCTTTTTGTGCAAACCCTCCCAAATTTGAAACAAACAGCTAGTATGACAGGATGACTGACTGACAGGATGAGGAGTGGGCCACTCACTTCTCCGTGAAGCAGCCACTCTTAGCACAGAAAGAAGCCACAAAGATCTCTCTGACTGCGTGCCGGGTACACGCGACGCCTGTCGGTGGGACTTCTTTATGAGATAGGAATATTTCACACGAACCTGAATGTCTGGATCCGACTAAGCCAATCAAGGATCAGCCAATCCTCCAGCAAGAAGGATTTCCTTTTCCTCCACCTTTGGACCCCATCTCACATGCTGTAAGAATTATTTGCCACTTCCTTTTTCATGAGGAAAAGGTCATAATTGTGAGAGATGCGAGATCTGAACTCTCAGGTGGGGCTTTCTGAAAACAAATGGCCTCATCAGGCCATTGGCCGAGGTCTTCTTCTCATAGTTCTCGCCACTCACGGCCTTGGTCTTCTGCCTTGGCACCAAGCAAATCTGAGCGGAAGGGAAGCGCAAACTGCAACGTCTTCATCTTCTCAAACGGATCCAGTCGGAACAGGCGGTGGAAACCACTAGGCAGCCATTGCAGTTTGTTTTCACCAGAAAGAATTGTGCCAAGGCATTTAATTAGCATGATTCCTATTCTGACACAATAGATTTCAGGCCCGCAATAAGGGTTTGCTGGCGGCAAAGTGAAAACAATGCTTCTTGTCAGGTTCTAAAGCTTCAGAAGACCAAGGTTCAAATGACATGACCCCTATTCCCTATTCCCTCAGAAGCCTGCCACCATGGCAACCAACTTGCTAGTTGCGTGCTTCATCAAAGCCTCGCCATAAACATGACTGACATCCACCATGGCCCTGGCTGACAGGTAAAAAGGACAAATACTATATATATATATATTTGCTTTATTTGAAATTTATTTGATTCAATTTATATTAAAGAACTGGCGGGTCCCGGGGTCTTAACTTTTTGAGCCACATCCAAATCTTCCAATTTCTGCGTCACACATTTGATCCAAGTGGCAAAAGGCAGTTCTCTGTGGACTTTCCGCCTGCGGCCACCTCCTGTCGCTTTCGAGGAGACGAACAAGGAAAATGGCACGATGTAAACACCTGCTGCGACAAGGTCGCGAACAAAAGGCCGGGAACATACAAATATTACCAATCGAACCATGTAGTCGTTGACAACAGTCCTCAAAACCCTCCTGTGGTTTGCTACGCTATTTGTGGCGAAGGGAATGTACCAAGGGGAAACCTCCTGAATTTAAATATATCACTGCATGGATGAATGTTCTTGGTATTTCTTGGTAAGCATGTACGGTCCTACATCCGAGCTTTTTGAGGAATCAGCCCTTTGGAGTTGGACATGCCGGACGGGCGAACAAGGAAACTGTCCTGACTCTACCTTCGACGGAAGGGTGCCTTTATCTGCCTTTAATTTAAACATCAGGGAGCTGAATCTTTCGGGGAGCTATCAGCCATGCAAAACGTCTTGGACACGCATGGAAAAGTGTTCTGCTCCAACACGTCGTCGAAAAAATCTTCGCGTTCCATTCTGTGGCCCTGCATGTTCATGCAACAGCCAGAGTCTTGCTTGATGTTCAGTATGCATACATCACAATACAACAATACTCCTCACCTGTGAAATCACTGTACTATGCAATGTATGAAATACAACATATAGCAACATCTGACTTCGTGTCACTGAATTGAACTGCCCTGAGATTCGTGACCCGCGTCCGGTGACCCACGATCACTGCGAGGTTTCTGCCAAAGGGCCGTGATCTCTGCCAAAGTAAGGAGGAGGATCACTGCCAGTGAGGAGTGGAACATGGCGCAAGTCTTTTTTTGCGGCAATGAGAGGAGTGGAAAAGGTCCCCGAAACCCAAGTGCCTTGCATTATGCATTTGGAGCAGTAGCTTCTGGAGGTGTTGTGCAAGTGCTGAACTCACACGTGGCAGCTGACGGGAGTAAAATGATCGTTACGCAACATTACCCAACGATTCCCTCATCATTCATTGAGAAACCTTGCAGCGTAAAAGCTTGAGTAAATGGTGCAGCAACGGGAAAAGACACAGGATGTGCAAACTTGTGCGAGTGCCAGCGCCTACAACATCTACCGAATAAAGATGAAACAAGTATATTTATACTCATTACAGTCCTGAATTGATTAAGTGTCATGTCCATTGCCTTGGTTCAAAAAGGTCTGGCCATCTACTATCTACTCGGAGGTGTAGGGTAGACAAAGAAAGGGGAATCCTGGTAAATCAACCTCCAGCATGCGGCTCAGGCCAGATGGATGTGACATGGAAAGCATCTCCAGCCACAATGTTCCAACCTCTGATGGAGAGTCTGAAGTAGTTTCGCGATCTGGAAGAGCCATGAAGAGCCAATCTTTCCCCGGTTCCCAAGGCCGCAAAGCATGCCTCTCCAGGTTAAGGCTGGCACCATCTCCGTTGTAGAAACCGCACCACTTCGGCAAACTACCTTCATAATGATCTCGAACAAACACAGCACGAACAAATTCACCACATTGAAACGTTCCTCGTGAACCCAGAAGTGTTTTTAACGTAGATGGTACTCATACAAAAGAACCTGGAACCAGAAGCTGATAATTGCCAATATCTCACTCTTTAACCCACCCGGATCCTTCCTAACAGACCAGTGACTATGAGAAAATTGAGTGGTGAAATCACACCCCTCGTCACATGAAACTGATTTGCCCAGCCTTTGGTTTAGGTTTCTTGATCAACATCCCTCTGATCAAAGATACACGCCAAGTGCTCCATGATTCAGCCAAAAGGACAACGAAAACATCACATTCAAAAGAGGCCATGGACTGAAATTCATCACATGGACTGGTGGAGCCTTGGGGGGCACCGACCCGACCGCCACGCCGACCGCCAGGCCACTTCCGTGTCGGCCTTGTAGTGCTCGTAACGGTCATAAGGGGAGCCCTGTTTGGCGGAGATCTTCTTGGGATTCGCCTGTGCACCAGGGAACACGAAGAGAGAGAGAGAGAGAGAGAGTGGGTGCCGTTGGTAGCAAACATCTTTAGGGGTCCCTAAGTAAGTAACACTTACAGTATATAGAAGTTATTACATAGCCAAAATGGGGAGACACAAAAAGAAGCTGGCTCAAGAAACGGGTGGAAATGGGGGAGGATGGCTGAGTCTAGGTTTCCAAATCACATTGGTCGTTCATTTGCATATCGCCAAAAGTCGGATGGGGCCAAACAAAGTCTCTTTCATTCGAGGGAAAATCACTTGGAGCAAAATGATGCAGGCCAGTGGTGAAGGTGAAGCAAGTCGCACTCCGTGGCCATTGTAAGGCAGTGCGTTGATCAAACGTGAACAAGCAGCAGTGCCACTGCCATCATACGCGGCCTTCCCTCCTGCAGCTTCCTGCCCGCCACCACAGGAAGACCATCGCAGCAGGTTGGGGTTGTGCTAGTCTTGGATCGGCATCGAGCATGGCTGCTACAGCAAGGCTCATCTTTCTTTAAGTCTGCAAGTCTTTCTGAGGACACCATCGCCGGTTGCCAAGTGGTGAAACACTGAGTGATCATCTTCCTGTCCAACAAGATCAGCCTTGACACGTCCTTCTCATCTGCGACCACCTTAGTGTTGTCAGCTGCCAAGCCCTGTGGCAGAAAAGCCATTTGCGATCTTTGCGTCATTGGCCGCTGCAGGAACGCAGCCCACTGTCTCGCCCAAAATGGGCCATCAGTTGCACTGAGCTGATGTTTTAATATGTTTTAATGACAAGCTTCTGCCACATGTTGTGCAGCCCAAGGATAAGATGGTAATGGAAATCCGAAACGCAGTGGGAGGCATAGTCTTACCAGCTGAGCTATGGTCAAACCATGATCTCAAAACCCGCCACTGGCTATGGATAAGCGATTTGAAGCGAGTGTGGAAGTGGACAATGCATCCATCCCCAAACAGGTTTGCTCTCTCTCTCTATAGATTATATTGATAATTTAGATACTAATGAGATCAAATTAAATGGACACTTCCCCAGTCTCATGAAGTTTCTTGTCGCAAGACCCACATATACCAACACCCGGATCCTTCAGACCAAGACAATTGTGACAAGGGAGACCTAGATAAACCACGGTACTGTGGAAGAAAAGGACCTAGAACAAATATGAAAAAATGGGAATAGAAACAATCTGACCCACATACTGCCGCTCCAACAAGACCGTTCCCTATCCTGTTGGAACTCGATGGGATCATCTTCACCTCGGTCACCAGCATGTTTGATGGAAGATGCGGCGGATGGTGCAGCGACAGGTTTGATAAAGTTCATCACCAAAATTGTTGGAGTAAGTGACTGTGCGTTCAACTCCTGGCTGTTAGATCTGGGTGACAAACTGTGATAGAGACAAGCTGTGAGAATTCTTGCTGACAAACCTAATCAAATAAACGTGAAGCTGATAGAATTTTGGCCAATGTGACAATGTTGGCCACACCTCGAGCAAAGAGTTGTGAGATTCTGGGCTGTGGATGGGCGCTAGGAACCTTCGCTGCTGGAAACGAGAACGAGAAGACCAGTGACGAGAAAATCCTTTCCGCTCAGCGAAAACATTCAAACCAAGAGAAGAGGGAACGTAGACTATGTTCAACATCAAAACCCCTGAGAAGTGCCGTGCACCACCTGGAATCTCTATCCATCAACAGCGGGGATCCATCCTGGGTCAAAACCCACGGAGACGCACACACGTCCGCCCCTCAGCAACAGACCGGCAGGGACGCTGCTCCTGAGCACTTGTGCTGCGTGTCTGACACAAATTCCTGAATAAAAATACATAAGTGACAAACAAAAAACATCAATACAATATCATAACATATCACAATATATCTACAGTATAAATATGAACATGTATAAACATCCTATAAACTCAAAAGGTGAGATTCACGATCACCAATCACGAGATCGGATTTCCGTTCACGGACCCCGGGTCTCGGAAAGCCATGAAGAACGTGCCGTGGTGAAAGAGTGGAGTCAGTGGAGTCAACCATCAGAAGCTGCTTTTCTTCAGGGTTCATCCTGCGCCTGCCCTCATTGAAAGATCTACCAATAGAATGGCTTACTTGGAAGCTACAAAATACGGTGCTTTGGTCCATGCGCACTTCCTGTCCTGGACTCCCCATCCCCCCCAAAGAAGGAACCAAAAGCAAAACCCACCTGGGTCGACTTGAGGGTCCTCTCACCATTTGGTCTACCCATCCAGACCGTCGGCTGCTTCTTTCTGTCAGCTCCAAGGCTCAAGTTCATCTTACTCTTCTTTCGCACCTTCCGTACCTACCGCTCGGTAGGTTCGAAGAGAAGTGAGGTTCGAAAGGACCTGCTCGAAAGACTGGCAGCAACGGAGACAAGGAGAACCGCACGTGTTAAAAAGAGATGTTTTGTGAGATGGTGAATATCTCCCATCAAGAGTCAAACCCAAGTTCTGCCTCCTCAGAATCCATCTGTTTGCTTGTTAGGTTGCATTTAGGTTGCACTTGCACGATTCCTTACAGACCGTCAGACTTTTAATGCTGCAATATGCTACATGTTTTTTCTTCTCCATGAACAGTAGGTGCAGTCCAGTAGGCAATTGTTGGAAACGTCTTTCTGCACCAGTGCGTGCAACGATCAGTTGGCCGCATCTTGCCTGGCATGGAAGATTCCAGCCGTTCCCAGGTGGCCCCTTCAGCCAGCCTTTGTAGCTTTCACTTCTGGCTCCTCTCAGGCCATGCTACTTCGGAAACATCTTGAAAGTAATTTGCTCCCGGTTCATCTGTACTGAAGACTTAGTGAAACTACTTCCCCCTGAACTGCTGTGCTTCGCTTGATCACGACCAAGACCAAGACCCATCGAGGCTGGACCCATGGTCGGTGCAGGCAGCACACATTGGCCGAACCACCGGCTCCCGGCTCGGCCGAAGAAGTGGCACACCTGGTGGCCCTGCTATTGCACACTCTTGGGGTCCTGACTGGAGACATGGCACTGGGGTCTTTTGAGACGTGGCAGCCACTGCTGGCATTCTCAAAATTTCGTAGAGCAATTGTTGCTGAAATCGTTGTGTTGCTGGTACAGTAATGGACGCGACAATCGAAAAACATACCTGCAAATAACGAAGCAACAACTCAATGCAACTCATACAATATAATAGAGCAGAACAATAACTGTGTATGTACACCACCGCAAGTACTTCTTCAAAATCGTTGGATCCCCTTGTAGTGGATGCAACATGCACTTGGCCCAGCGGATAATTATCATGTTGCATTGATCCATATCTATAGCCGCTGGGTTCTTTCTGGGCAACCTCGTGCAAAAAACTCTATACCCCGAGTCAATTACTCACGCTACTGACTTGGTCACCAAGTGAGTAGCTGGGAGATGGAAGGGAAGAAAGATTGGTTGCGCCTCGCCGCCAAAAAGCCATTCGGCTCCACCACTCACTTAGTCTTCATAAAGCGGTTTCCTCGTCGCTAACGGCCAGCAACGCTCCTCATTCTGAAGGAACACTCCTCCTCACTGAATTATGCTAGTTGCATTCAATGGGTGTAAACAAAAACTGAGGTGTACTGCAGCAGAGTTTGCTGTGACTGGCAGCACCAAGGAAGCCGTTCCAGCTTCTGCAGAAGGTATCTTTGACGATGATTGAGCGTTCTTGCCACCAAGCCGGCATGTATTGGATGATGCCTGATCCATTGTCAAGTTCAGCTCTTTTAGCTGACCCAAGTCATCATGCTGAAGCATAGCAACATCCTTGTCTGCAACCTCTGACACTCGATCTTCAAGTTGCGTTCATCAACGTGGTGGTCAATATTCAAATTCATTCAACATCAACCTCCTTCATCAACATCTTGCTATTTAAAGCTGCTACATACATGGCCAAGGTCTTCCATCCAGTCATCCAGCCCGAGATCGTCAATTCACCTGCCCCCAACTCCTCTGGCACCGCCGCCAGGCTTACCGTCGGCTCCGGTGGTGGCCACCTGGGCAGTAGGATGACATGGATCTTCATTACATGAAAGAACACCTTGACCGACCCTGGATGACCTGAGTTAACATAGTTAACCATCTGATCATATATTGTATATCGATTCCAAATAGATTTCTCTCAAACGCATGACTCAAGCGAAAGAGCGAAACACTTCAGTCAAGAAAAACAGAGAATCCCACCTCAATGTTCGCTTGCAACACGCAGTGGCATGAAACAAACAACAGGGTTTTATTCATCCTCAAGTCTCTTGCAAACGAAGACACCAAGGTTGTATGCATACAATTAAGTTTGTTGTTTGTTCATGCCAACCGGCTCTCTATAACTATGAGTCTCCTCACTTGTGCACCAACTCCGATCCTCCAAAGCCCCAAAGCGGCTCATGCCCTGCGGCTCACGCGGCTCACGCGGCTCGGCTGGATGATCTTCCGTGGACAGCCCAAGCCTTGCCGATGGGATGTCGGTGCCTCTGCGGGTGTCCTTTTACATTGGTGCCGCTGTGTATGTTCTTGTTGGACTGTTCGATTGCTTCATTTTGCGTCCTTTGAATCGTTTATATAGATGCACGATTGGCTTTTGCATTTTTGCCTTGATACCAGGCTGCTGCTCCACTTCTGTTTTGGAAATCTTGATTCACACAATACTTGCAGTATGAACATGTCCAAAACGAACCTGCATCACACTATATACGACACTGCTCAAACCCTTTGAGTTGAAGAGTTCATCAGTCTGTGTGAGTGGATTTCTTGAAGTTGTGGGTTCCTTCACCCATCGAAGCCGCTGTAACAAACCCGGCCCTCCACGGTGGATCGCCAATTGCCCTGGGTCGGCACAAATGGCGTTCCATATATTAACATATATACGTACAGTTCTATAGTTCATGAAGCGGAAGAAGAAACGCATAGCTTCTTGTTCCTAGTAGTAAGGCCCTTGTTCCTAGTAGCGATGCACTTGTTCCTAGTAATACAATTATACATGGGTTAACATGGGTTTATACGTGTCTTTTCACATCCAATGAGATTTTCCAACCACGCATCACATCCTTTGACCGCCTACGCACCGACATGCACCGACCATGTGGAGTTGACATTTTAAATTACTTCACCTGCAACGTCTCTTCAACATGTCACTTCAAGAGCCGCTACCACTTGGGCCTCGGCTGCCGTTGGGCCTCCCATTGATGGATACATGATGATACATGAGAATATGCGGGGAATTCTAGATAGCCACATAGAATGCCTGCGCGATCCTGCGCGCCTTATAGAATAGAATGTCCTTGAATAGGCCGAACACATTTCAACAGAGTTCCCTTGGATCCAAACTGCGGGACTCCCTCCATCACCACTTTGTCTCTACGGGACGGTCACAGGCAGAGTGGATCGGTATGTCCTGAAGAACCTACCAAGCGATGGCCTTCCCTTATTAGCGATGGCCTCCAACCTAATAGGTTGATGATGTGGATTATTGTGGTGTGCTGTCACTGGTGACCTTGTGAAGGACCCAACAACACCATCAAGGGCCTTTCACGTTCGCCTACAGTTTTGCAGAATATAATGGAATATACCATCATATTCCGATTGGGCGAAGGAGCCGCCGAAACCGCTTGCGTCGGATCGTGGGCCCGGCTCGAAGGACCAAATCACCCTCCAGGGGGCCCGGCTCGGACTCCGCGAAGGCTGGATCCGTCGGATAGGCGAAGAACCTCGTGGAGCGCCCGGCGTTTCCGGAGGCGTTTGCTCTGATGGATGAGAAGCTAGAAGCTGTCCTGGGAGTTGGGAAATTGAAGCAAACCCTGGAAGGTTTTGATGCTTTACCAAGCAAGTCTTAGCCAAGAGCTGAAAGAGGTGGTTTATAATATTACATATATATATACACACAGTATTTCAATGTATTTCAGCTCTTTCAGCTCTGAAGAGCAGATGAGCCTGAGTCTCAGTCTTGAAGCCTCAGGGCTAACTTCAGCCTTCATTGAAGATATGGTATTTAGGATGTACTTGGATACTTTAAAAGGTCCAACTATCTGAAGATGGAGTCACAAATGACCTTATGAGAAAAACATGGTTGCACCGGAACATCAATTCGTCGATCATCTGTGGCTTGGAGGCTGAATGCCCTATTCCTTCATGGGCGTTTGTACTGCATCAATCCATTATTCTGTAACCTCCTGGTGAACTAGGCGAAAAATGATCCCCTCCTGTAGCTTCAGGAGTCAATCAATTCTTTGACACCACTTATCGGCTTAACGTGGCAGTTGGTGAAAGTTCGTGCACCCATTGTGTGAGTGTTGAGGAAGGCATACAACTTGCACAGCTAGTCCGGAAGGTGTAAAGTCTTCTGGACACTCGGCGTTTTGTTTTTCGCTCACGGAGTGCTCGGCAGGGAAAAGGTTGGGCGAAGCTTTGCAGATGTGTGGGCAGATCGTCACGACCAAGGACTTGGTGCACTTTTTACAGGTGATACGGCGAACATCCTGTAAGAAGTGAGTTGCTTGGTACGTTTGCTGTGCGACATCGAAGCCTATGAGCCTTGTGATTCTTCACAAATGACTCTTGAAAGGTGCCTCCCGTTGCCTCACGTCCGATCGCCCTGGGAGATCTCGGTGTTCGACGGGGCGTGGGGATCTGGCTCCCTGGGGACCGGTTCCGGGTTCGACGATCACTTCTCTTGGTACCAGTTGCAGCTTGATGTTGTCTGATCGTATATACCTAAGACCTCCGGTGGTGTTAGTAAAACTAACGCTCGAAGCTGGAATGCAAGCTTCAATTATCGCTCGCAGGTAGAATGTTCGCTCGAAGCGAAAAAGAACGCTCGAAAGTATGTGGTGCAATTAAAAATTGCTCTTTTGAGTTCACCTCTCAGGTGTCACAAGACATTGATTGATATTGATTGATATTATTTTAGCCGTTTGGGGAAGTCTGCACGCCTGACTTTGCCTGACCTTAAATGGATTTAACTGTCCGAAGTAGTTGATTTGGGCGACCGACTGACCGATTTAGAACACGGTCGCTTTTTGAGCCAGATGACCTAAAATGTCAGCCTCAAAATCCGGTGGGTCGATTCTTCCAGGAGTTTTTCAATTGTTCCAGCAGTCACTGGAACAATTCTGAGTCTATTCAGAGGTATTTCAATTGTTCCAGGCTAGGCCACCTACCCAAACATCATCTTAAAAAAGATCCGACTGCTGTCCAAACACACCCCACAGGTCGAGGTTCCGTAGTGGGCGGGCGCCAGTCCAGCCCAAGTCCTCCCAATGAGGCAGTAATCGATCCTAAACCTGCCCAACCCAGGCTTGAGTATGGTTCAAACATGTTCAAACACATTTCCAATGGTTTGGCCATGTTTGGCATTGGAATTGAGTATATAAAATCCTGGTCTGACTGGGAATACCTTCGCGTAGTTGCAAGACGGGCCTGATGGTCGGTGGAAGACCTTCAATCAAAGGATTTCAGAGGCAAAAGGCTCTTTGAGTCCTCTGAATCGGTGCTGTGCTCAAGGCTTTTCTGAATCGGTGAGGGCGGGAGGGTCTGTCGTAGGTCCTAAAGAATCACACACGATCTTCGCCATGGAGACCACGTAAAGATGTGTAAAGCTTGGATTCTCTGCTCTTCCTGCGCTAAGCATGCTTACTGCACTCATTGGTTCCAATATGTTCCAATGCAGCGGCTGTGGAAAGGAACAACTGTCGGCTGTGCTGGAAACCTGATTGGGGCCTAGTTTCATCGTGAATCATCCTGGATGCGTCTCATGTGCCCAGCAGAACATAAGTTGCCCGGAGAGCACCAGTTAAAGGAACGACTTTATGATGGTGCCTCTGAGCGGGTCATTCTTCGAGGTTTATTTTGTCCCATGATACTCAAAAGTGAAGACCAGGTCACCTGGAATTCCGATGATTCTTGAAGACTAAGGCATCAAATTCCTTCAAGTATCTTCAAGCGATTTCAGTGTAGACAGTGTAGACCGATGTTTGCATGGTTCTGCGCTCAAAAAAGCTCCATATATGATGGAATTGTGCATCTAAGCTGAAGCATGCCGGATCACGAAATCCCGGCCTTGAACAATTGCTCCCAGCTAATCCCAGCTATGTGCGGCCCGGGATGTGTGACCATCCGCAAAGAACCGTCCCATCTCTGTGAGATCCGACGGTGATTTGCCTCCCACACCCAGACCCAATCCGTCCTGAGCTGAAGCCTCCCCCAGTGGAATCCACTTTTTGTCCACCCACCTCGGAAATCGTCCTAGCCGACCGGCGGCCACATGCGGCCAATGACAGTCGCTGCATGAAGCGGATGCTTTGGTCAGTTTTGGTTGCCCTGTTTTGGTCAGCCAAATGAACCTTATGGATCTAGGCTGATCCATTCACCAATATTCAGGATCTCAGAAGGCACAAACCCTCCAGTACTGACAGCCTGAAGATGGTTCTGGATGTCGAAGAAAGGACCGCACAGCTGAAACTGGGAACGACTGCTAGTTAAAATAGGCAAAAAGCTGAGGACCCACCGCGCATTTGTTCTTATTCTTATTTTTATGATTTCTATGTCTTTGAGAGGTCTTTGATGACTTTGATGGGTGAACTTGAAACATTCTTCTTCGACGATCCTGTGAAACATCTCCCAGAACCCGATCACACCCGATGCAGAATGGTGACGTGTCAAAGTCCAGAGCACTCTGCGGTATCTGATGCCTCGGCGGCTGAGTCTCGGTGGCGGAAGGCCATCGCTCTTAGGTTGGAGGCCATCGCTGTTAGAAGCAAAGACAAAAGAAACGAAGAAAGGTCTAATGTACAGTAGTTTGCTATTAGTCAGTCTTTTCGTTGTGGTTCAGGAACGCCATGCGAAGCCACTGGGGCAAAAACGGCTGGGCCGAGATCGTCAGTCTTCAACTGCTATCCCAACAGGCTAAAAGTTGGACCCCAAATAGAGGGACATCGTCCATTGCCTGGAAGCGCTCTAAACATCTCAAGGTAAACCTTATGCAATAGGCACCATACCATACATTACATGTCAAAGTAAAGCTCGATTGGCCTGTCATAGTAGTCTGGTTGTAGATCTGCCAGTTCAGTGTCGCGTGCCAAAAAAATACTCTATTAAACTCCTTGCACGTGAACAAGTGGAAGAACTGCACTCCGGTTCCAACTGCACTCTGCGTTTCTCCCGTTGCTGAGCCGGTTCCGTTCCGCTGAGCCGGCGGCTCTTCCGACCACATCTGTGAGAGTAGTGGCCTGTCGGCGAAAGAGCCCCACGCAGGGAGATGGGGAGAAAAGGCGAAGATGGAGATGCCCCAACACACGACTTCCAAAAACGCTTCAATTCTTATGTTTTAAACATAAGGTACTTGTTCATGTTCACCAGTTCTTTTGGGGGTCTCCCTGTTCTTACATCCGCATTCCAGAAGGCTGTTTTGAGGTTAAGTTTGTGGGGAGAGATTGGAAGTGAGTTGCTTCGATTAAACTGTAAACATACTATTCAACTCATCGAGGCACGTGTATACTTGTAGCATAGTTTTGTATATCTCCACTCATAAGTTTCCAAAGTGCCACTGACAGTCAAGGGTCTCTTTGTAGAGAAGTGCATTAGACTGACAGCAGCCAGAGGCCCCTTTTCGCAGTTCATCCAGAAGACGAGGTCGCTTGGCCTCTGAGCATCTCACGTTTGGTGCGAGGCTGCCCTCTAGTGGTGATTAGGCAGCCAAGTCAGACACAGCATGACAGCCGAACGCCTACGCCTCTCTGGAACGAAATAAGATTGAGGCGGATTGATCGCAGTAGGTCCTTTCCAGGTAAGGGTGCGATTTGAGACCACATCGCATCGTTTGTTTCACCCCAAATCTCCAGAAGCTTTAGAATCATTACGTGCCCTCCATGATTGCCTGCAGAACCTGACTTGCATGCAGTTTTCCTGCAGATTTTTCAATACGACAAGGAAGGCTTCAAACCACTCGGAATAGCTTCGTAAATATTCTAGCTGATCAATCTTATCTACTCAACCATGACTTCTTGATGACGCAAGAACAGGATACACTGGATACACCCCCTCTTCGCCAGCACTGGGCATATCAGGTCAATCACCCACTTCTGCAAGTCGGATCAAAGATTGCTCCACTTCTTCACTAAATGGTCTATTTGGAGTCACCCCGACTAAAGGAGGGAGACATCGACATCAACTTCACGACCTTTCTGGGGACCTGCCGGAGATCCGCAGATTTCAGAGCGAGGGGAGCGCACAAAGGCATTCGTCGGGAGCTCGAGCTCATGAGATGTGAAGACAGCGAACGTCAACAACTACCAAAGCAAATGAGCCGACCAATGACCTGGAATCACCCAGGAAGACGCTTGGCCTTTTGGTACTATAAGTCCAAGCAAAACAAAACTGAGGGAAACCATATTGGATTCTCTGTTCAGGGTATTGTTCAAAACCACAATCTGTGTTCATATTTTTAAGTCCGGTTACCGACTGCCTACCAAAGCTAGAAAACAGAGATGGCTGCCATTGACAGACTTTTGTCCTCTCTGAAGGAAGAAAGTAGATTGTAGGATCAATAACGCTTTGAAAGACATGGCTTAAAACAGGTTCCGGAATCCCCGAAACAAGAAAACAACATAAAGCAACCACCTCTCGAGCTGCCCAAAGATCTCTCTCGCTTCCGTAAAAAGCCTGCATGGGCCGGTTCCACTGGAAGCAAAGACTTCAACTGCCGCAGCAGGCTGCCGCTGGCGATTCGCCGGGAGAGACAGGAGCGACATCTGCCCGAGGCAGACAGGCTGCCGCTCCTTTATTCGTGGCTCAGCAACAGGTCACATCAGTCCAATCACCAGGTTTGACAGACCATCATGCACCTGTGATACATGGTAGTTGGACATGGAGATGGTGCTTCTGATGGGAAAAAAGGTCGCCTTCTTTCAACAGTCAGACAATACCCCACGCCTGAAGCAATCCGATGATTCATATGATTCATATGCCTGATATCCTCTGATGGGGGATACCGATGAGAGAGTAGCAGTGGCCTCATCCTTTTTGAGGGACCCAATTGACCCATCTCTGATAGCGATGGCCTCCATCCTAGTCACTTAGTAGCCATGGCCTCCAACCGACGGCCTCCCTCCATCCGAGTAGCTGAGTAGCGCGATGGCCGTACCGGTACGGCCAAGGCGGTGAATTGGATTGAACTGGCAGAGTTGATGAAGCAACACAGAATTGCAACGGCCGACCCCCTCAAGTTATGGCAACGGTTACGGAAGTCCGCCTTATCAAAACAAGCCTTCCTCCATCTTCCTCCCATTCTTTGGTTTGTTGCTGTTGGGCCTTTTATTTTCTGTCCTTTCCTTCCCTTCAATGGTTGTTCTCTGATCAAGCCAGTGGTCACAAAGGGTACCCCTTATGAGGCCTGATCCCCCTATGTAATTGTGCATGCCACCCTCCCTTAAACCAAGCCTTCCTGCCATCTCCAGGTTTGTGGCCTTTCCTTTCCTCTAGTTTCCTATCATCGTCCCCTGGATCAGGTTGGCACGAGATTGAGCTACAAGAACCCTATTCATGCCACAGATTTTTTTGTAAATTAAGGGCAGGACTTGCGGCTTTTCCAAGCGACGTCTGGTTATCAATCCAGTCTTGGCATTGGTGCATATAGAGGATAACAACAACAACAACAACAAATAACCCAAAAGGATCTGTCATGGGATTTCCACTCTGCACGATTCTTCCTCGTCTCACCTTGCTGGCCCATCTCTGTCTTCTTGGTCCCGGCGGTGAAGTCATATGCGGAATCGTTCCATGTGCAGCGCTTCGCATTTTCGGCTCGAGTTCAACAGGACTTCGCAACCTAGCGAATCTGATGGTTTGGAAACCTCATTGAACCACCAATTTCTTTTTCCATTCGGACACTATTCATAGCTAATTAACCCGTGTCAAAAGTCTTGGTTCACATTGGATGGATTGGATCTGCTTGCATTGGCGCTTTGCAGGGGCCCATTGTGTTCCACATCGTGTTCAATCCATCCAGCCAAGGGCCAGGGACACGGTGGGACACAGTCAGTTCCGCTTTTAATGGAAGACTTGATTGAAGGTTTGGAGAGGGCAAACACATGTGTTCGTTGATCATGATCTTAGATTATAAGATTGCTTTACCCGCTCCCGACACATACACAGCTGAAAAGGTGACAGTACTGAGGCCATGAAATTCTATGCACACACACGTGGAGCACATTCGTCCTTACACTTCCACAAGCTCTGGAAACCAAAGAGCTTCAGATCAAACCAGCTTCTCCCTTCAGAACAGAAGGGTGAGGTGACGTTTTATGTCTACCGGACAGTGATCAGGAGGCAAATTACCCAGAGTCCCACCCCGTCCTGGCTTGGATATATGGAGAACACCCTCAAACAAATGTTCCATCTTCAAGGTGCCTCTGGCTATCTTGAGTGGGTAGAAACCAAGCTGAACTCCAAGCGCCTTTCTCTCAGAATAACTAGACCGGTGGAACCTTCCAACAAACTGTTCGGAGCTTAAGCTACTTGTCATTTCTCTTTTCCATTCTTTTCCCCTAGTGCTTTAGCCTTTCAAAGGACTCTTCCAGGCGCCATCTGCTTCGACGCAGGTCTGAGACCTCCTGGATCTCGAGGCAGCCAGCAATCGACAACCGGGGCCCGTAGCTCTGGAAACGTGTGGAAGATCCAAAGCTAAGCCGACGGCTCTGACAGACACCCAACAAGAAAACACATGAAACATAACCTGGCCATCCAAAGACGGAACAACCCACCATAACCCAACAACTCGTTCAAAGAAAAAATGGACCTGGCCCTCCAACGAAGCAACTTGCACGTGGGGATATGATCAGTTTCTCCATGTTGAGGATCAACAAATCATCGAACAAAAGCGCAACGAGCCAACAGTGGATTTGCAAAGGTGAAAGGATACGATACGAGCATTCTTTTCCAACGGATTGAAAGCAAATGGTCCAAGCCTCTAAATCCTTTCAAGATGGAAACCCACACAGGAACAACCAGGAAAGTGGAACAACCAGGACAGTGGGCACCACATATATATATATATTACAGAGATAGAGGGATGCGACATTGCTTGACTTTGGTACTAGCACAAGTTGGGTTGGCTTTTCCTGGTAGCTGTTCGACGAATCGGAGATTTGTGCTTTTTATCCTTTTTTCCCGGAGATTTTGGGGTGTTTGAGCTAGACCACTCAAAGCTCACTGTCTTAGTCGATTTGGAGCTTACCAAGCGAGAGAACAGAGTCGAAGCACACAGATTGATGATTAAACTATTGAACTTCTTCTAGTAGCGTCCTTGCTCCTACTTCTTCACTGCTCAACACTGCCCAGGACAGTACACAGTTTCCATGTTTGGCTCAGTAACAAACACCATTCGTCGATCATCGGCCTAGCTCAATCACTGCTCAATCGGCTTGGCCAAGAGCGGTTATTTGAATTTGGATTTGTGGATGAGGCACGTGGGAAAAAAGTACCAACGTCACTCAACGTTACTTAGCCAGACTTAGTCATGTTGGTCGAAGCTGAAGCACAGGCACCCAAGTAGTTCTTCTCCACGCTCAGACCATCCAGTGCCTCCTTGGGGGGACAGATTCCCACCGATGATGAAATCCGGTCCATTTCTCCGGTGATTTCTGCACATTCGGGCAGGTCTAAACGGCCTGCCATGCCCAATTAGAGCGAGGATTTGAAGCTGATTCCCTCATTTTCCGGGAAACAAAGTTCAATTTGTTGGCAAAGTGAACCATTTTGCCAAACAATTACAGGCTATAGCTACTGGCTACTGACTTGGTGTCCAAGGGATCAAGTAACGGCCGAAATGGGAAGGTTGATGCTCAGGAGTGGGCTCCACAGGATAGCTGACCATTAAATCTGGATATGTAAGTCGCATCGAACAGTTTCAGAAACACAAGTTATGTTCAGAAATCTTTACTGAGAAAATCGCTTTGCAAAGAACCCAAACAAACTATATGTAGGTCTAGATATGTATGTCCAAGTCGTGGTCTCTCTCATACATATATATATAATATATAGACAGTAATAGAACTAGCGCTCTCGAAAGTCTCGGGACAAATGTTGCTCATCTGGAACACCGCGAAACACAAGCTGCGATGCTCGTTGGGTCCTCAGGCTCAGAAATTCAATCTTCAGACTGCTTGGACCGACTTGCCCAAGAGTTGGACCATGGGTAACCCAAGGGTTGGGTGAGACATGATGACCCTTC